TTCTTTTTAATAGTAAATTAGTTTTTGATACCACAAAAAATAAAAATCATTCACAGGAATAAAAGTTTGGTTATAACCGAATTATTTCAATATCGAACCGAATTAATTCGGTTACAAACCGAATTAATCGAATTTAATTTGATTCGATTTCAATTTTTATTTTTTCTAATTCGGTTAACCAAAAACCGAACCGAATTAAGCTTAACCGAACCGTTTAACCGTTTGCTCACCCCTACATGAAACACAAGTAACATTGTAATAAGACAAATGACCCGCAAACCATTTTATGATGTACAATTACATTCTTTTTAATAGTAAATTAGTTTTTGATACCACAAAAAATAAAAATCATTCACATGAATAAAATTTTGGTTATAATCGAATTATTTCGATACCGAACCGAATTAATTCAGCTTTCAAACCGAATTTAATTTGGTTTGGTTTCGGTTTTCATTTTTTCTAATTCGGTTAATTAAAAATCGAACCGAATTAAGCTTAATCGAACCGTTTAACCGTTTACTCGACCTTATGAGCGGGACTTGAGGCGTATACGAGAGAAGATTCTAGTTTTTATTTCTAGTATCTTCGTTTTTTTAAAGAGAGCCTCGCCCGACCTAAGCCATGTTTACCTATAATACTCGGTAAAAAACACACGTCTTGTGGGCTATGATTTGTTATCGTTGAGCTCCCGAAGCTTATATGTTCTGCTACACTACAAAGTCCGATGAAATGGTTCATTTATGGGAAAAGGTTCATTTCATTTTTTAATTTGTCCTATTTATGAAGCCTTTTTGTCCAAGAAGAAAAACGCACATAAAAAGCATGGATCCAAAGTTCAATGAGACTAAAGTTGATATCGGCATTATCTATAAGATGTTGTCCCGATGTTTCCAATGGGCTAGAGCTTGGTTGTTTCATTTGTTGTATGGTAAATTTGGGCTTGGTTTGTACTTCCACAACATCAACCCCACCGGCCTTCCACTCGAATTCAAGCTATACTTATACTCCCACTCGTTAAATCGAAACATTTAAAATGGCCATGGTAATTGACTCCGGCTTAATTACTTTGATACCATGGATTTTTACAACTTAATAGCTTAGTCGGTTAAGAGTTTGTTGCTATAAAGGGTAAATGTGAAGAATTTCGAAGGTAAAATTCTACTTGACCATCGATAATTACGCAAAGGAGTTTCACAAAAATGGTTTTCAATGACAATCTGTTTATGCAATTTTGATTGCCATTTTGTCATCTTATTCGCATCTAGTAATCCAAATAGCCACCGGCATTTTACACTTGCTTTCGAGTACATTTCACCTTTATAGAGGGTGATATATCCATAATTACACTTACCAAAGACTTGAAGGAGTTACTAATATACATAAATGATCACGATCAAGAATGCGTCCCTCTCGCTCTTTTCAAAAACCATCCGAATAAGATTTTGTCATGAACGTAATGACCCCGCTAGCCATCATAGAGCCTCATAACCGAGTAAAACCCATGCACAAGCATAACAAACGAGTCTAAACAAGGAAGACACCACCTCTTTCACTTGTTAGACATAAATGATATATATTTAATGAAAGTGTAGTTTCTTGGGATTTTCATATCACATCACCACTATATATGACACCACATATGTCGATAGACAATGACATTAGCTTTAAAAAATTCAAAACCTCCAAATGAATATTATAGAAGTTATTGAGTACAAATGAAAAAGATGGAAATACCCTACACTCTACACAAATTGATCACTTCCTCACCTATATAAAAGTTAACACATCAAGTGTTACATATTCTCTCTTCTAAGTTAAAAACAAATATATAACATAACTTCTTTTACTAAAAAACTAAATGTTATTAAGCCTGTTCGTACAAAATACATATCTTCATATGCTAATTTTGGTATAAAAAAAATATTTTAAACACCATGTGAGGATTTTTTTTATTAGTACACAATTGATTTAATGTACAACAAACCACGTAAATCACATGATCGGCATGAATTAGAAGTTACCAAACCATCAATATTAATTTAAAGATAACAACCACATCATAAGGTAAATTACAATAATTCTCCGAAATATCATGAAATTACAAAAGTTTAAAAGTATTTAAAAATTTTCATTTTGTACTAAAAACATTCCTATTAGTAAGGGAAACGATTTAAAAATATTAAAGATATTTTGGATTAAGAAAAAAAACCTTTATATTTTTACTGAAAGATAATTGTAAATAATATCTTCAATCTCTAGAGTGTTCATTCTAATTTATAATATATTAGAGGAGTTTTTATAATTTAATTAAAAATGCATATGCTATTACTTTTGCTTGTGGACAACTCGATCAGATGATACCATCTAGAAAAAAGAAAGAAAAGACAACAATTTTCATCCTCATTCCTCATTATTTTGAAAGGACGACTTATAATTTCATATGGGTAGATAAAACGAAATCTTGTTTACCCAATTGCATAGCTACAGAAGTTTGGACTCAAAAATAAAATTTAAACGAAAATAAAAGAAGATTTAGCTATCTATATGTAAACAACATGAGTGACAATAGACTACTAAAACATAGATAGATACACCATCTGATTGAGAATAGAAATTATTAAGAAAGATAAAGATGAATAATTTGACAAGCTCCTATATCCACATTTTATGAGATCTTTTTGATCTGACGTAATGAATCAAATGTGCATTTTTTATGTGGTAGGCTATGGATTACTCCTGTGTATATTCAAATTAATCTTAAAGGAATGCAGGCACGCTATTTAAGACATCATGTCACAGTCACAAGCCCACCCCGACATGTTAAACTGTATCAAACTCACGGGTGAAATGATTATGACTCTTTCAACACTGACCCATTTCTAAAATCCACAAGAATGTTTTATATGGTGTCTCTAAAATTGGAAAGAAGAAAATTACAGCCTACCCAGCAGCTTTTGTATAGCGCCCATACTTTTTCCTTCCACTTGTTTTCTAGTTCCATTCCATGATCTAGCTTCTCAATCAAAAAAAAAAAAAAAAAAAAATCCACTATTTTAGTTTGACTTGGCTTCCTAATTATTTTTTGTAATAAACAAAGACTATAGCCTGAGAACCACTTTCCCGGCCTCTATGGAGAGAAAATGATCGAATGCCTATGATTAAATAGAAAAATTAAAAATAAAGCCATTAATGTATTCTTTCTTTTTGAAAATATCTTTTAGAGAAGAAAAAGGGGGAAATTTATAGGAAAATGCAATAAAAAACACTAAAGAGCATGTGAGCTTTTGAAAATGAGATTTGATGTGATGTCCAGAGAATAGTAAAGTGGGGGTCAGCTCATGAGAATTTACGAACGAATGGTGGCTAGTTGGCAAGTTGCATTTTTTGAAGAAATCACATGGTTATAATGTTGTTTTAAACTGAAGGAAATACTATAAAGTATAAACAAGTATTACATTATTGCTTGTCGTTGTTTGTAGTGTACATAATGTAAAGTTGGTCCAATCCGTAGAGGCTAACATGGGCATATGGCGCTTGCTTCCTTTCATTCATTCAGACACCTACTGGCCTGTGTACACTAAATTATTGCCCCCTGCAGTGTTGACAAATCCTGAGAAATCTCTTTGGCGGTGACTTGCTTGTTTTTATATTTTCCTAGGTGGTAAGGCGTGCAGAAGAGAAATAGCTCCTTTTCTGGTTCATTACGATCATATATAGTACACGGACCTATTTAATCATGGGCTGCATTGCAGTTAAAAATTTGATAGATGGACAACACATTATTTTGTAAAGAAGAAAAATAACAGAGGAATAAAGAATGGATAGATCACTACTAAAGCATTTGATTTCTGCTTTTAGCTTTTCATCAATTTTGGCTTGCTTCCTTTAGAGGAAAATTTCTTTGAGATATAGTGGTTAGTAGTTACATGAACTGCAAGACAGTACTGTCTTGCAGTGATTTGGGATCCATTAAAGTTGCGGCCATGTTAATCTTATGGTTAGAAGGAAAATATGATGGACATTCTGGAGTTGGACCATATAAAATTTGAGTAAAATAAGTGGCCACCCAATTTTGTAAGCTTATCATCAGCAACAACAACAACAAAACCTTGACCTCAAACTAGCTAGTTAGGATCGCTAACTTGTAAGCTTATCAACAAAAACCTCAAGTCCCCATTAATCAAAATAACACTAACTAAAACTATATATATATATATATATATATATGCGTGTGATCATGAAAGGATTCCATAAAGTGGAGAAAAAAGGTGGTAATTACTTGGGCAAAACATGCATGATGAGCAAGTTGTGGAGAAGTGATGTGATAATAATGAAGAGCGTACCAAAAGTGAACCTTTCCAAGAAGTTGAATTCATATAACAGATTCACAATAAAGAAGTAAGCAGAAGTGAGACTTTATCACTTTTGTATATATGAGTCTGCTTTCCTGACAAAAAAAGAGGATTCTCAGTAGTCCTCTGGAAAAAAAAAATTGTAGCAGTAGAAGTTCAACTTGAGAATTAAGTTGGCTCTCTTAGCACTTTATGTGGAATCTATGGCAAGTGCAAAAAAATGAAGACAGATTATTTTCATCATTTAGATCCGCAAAATGACCAAAGGTAGAGGTGGTGCTGCTCAAAAACGAGTTCTACTATCTTTTATTTCCACAATATATATGAATACACCTTTTGATTCACTCTGAAAAATACAGAAGATTCCACCCAAAAAAAAACAAAGAAGAAGAAGAAGAAGGCCTGGAAATGAGAATACCTAAAGAACCGGTAAGTGAAAAAAAAAAAAAGACAAAAAAAGGGGGTACTCCTACTAATTAACAAAAGGTGATCCAGAGACACACAGAGTAAGTGGTGGGTCTCACTTTAACTCAGTAACAGCTCAGCATATCACACAGAATCGCACTAGGGTTTGGTTTGATGCGAGGGGTGAAAAAGAAGTTGACCTAACTCGGGTGAGTTTTGACTCAGAGAGTTGAGTTCTGATGACTAAGCTGCACCAACTACTGGCTGGTTGTTATTGAGCCGCCAGGCCGAGGTGGCAATGAGGGGGCGTGTATGCCACCCTAACATCAAACACCCATTATTCTCTTCCACTCTATACCCATCTCCACCAGCAAACAGGGCCAACAACATGCTGGCTTGCTTAAAAGCGTTTGAACCGAGATGAACCGGAGCAAACCCAGCCGAACCCAACCGAGTTTGCCACTGCGTCAGAGTCTCGTGCCTCTCAACTCGGTCAAGCCCTTCACACGCCACAACATTGCAAATCTGCTTCGCCAAGTACACCTCTGACATTACTTTATCTTGGGTACTCACTGATCCCTCCAACGAATCAAACATAGTCGAGTAATAATGCAATGACTCGGTGAACCGGTCTAAGAAAACCGGACCATTATGGTTCGCTTCTTGCTCAACAACAGTTACAATCTCCGGTTTCATTTGTTTCACAACTGACAAAACCTTCTCAATGGCACCCGGTCTAGCCAACAATTTATGCAGCTCAAAAACCGAGTTAACAGCCACAGACTCGATCTCAGGGGGTCTGAGCTCAAGCATAGAAGCATCAAGATCAGCCAAACTGTTAGCAACAAAACCTCTATACTCGAATTTCACATGAATGGTCTCTGCCAACCGAGCCAACTTCCACCCCACCTCTTGAAGATGGTCTGTGTTATCACGGGCTGGTGGTCCAATGCCTGTTAACCGAAAAGCAGGTGGCCCACCAGGCCTAAGAGCAAGAGCTTGCATCAAAGCAGGCCACTGCATCCCTTGATTCATGGAAAAATCAATAACATGAACCCTTTTTTTCCCTTCAAAGGCTTCAAGGATTGCTTGATTGGCCGTGAAGTGAGCGAATTTGAGATAAGGGCAGGTCTCATAGAAGTGTATCTGAAGAATATCTGCGAGAGAGTGATCGATTGAATTCTGAGGGTGTAATTTGTATATTCTCCGAGCTAATGCCTCGGCGAAGTAGGTGGCTACCTTACGCATGGCTCCGGCCTGAGAAACAGCTAAAAAACCGATTTGTTTGACGAGGGCTTCTGCCAGATTGAAGTTGCTTTCGTGAACGGCTTCGGCACAGGCCATTAAGAGATGGACGAGACGAACACCGTTTTCTTGTGAGTCAACCAGGACTACCGGGCGAGTCGACTCAGTCGAGACAGCTAAAGATCCAAGAGTAGTAGAAGACGAGGATGACGACGAGGATGTCTGATATAGGTCTGTTTTTAAGCGTTTAGATTCGCTGGAGTCAATTTGGGTTCGAGAAAAGACAGCCTTACCCGGTATGACCTTCAGATCGTATTCCGATGATGATGATTCCTCGAATAACATTGGTTGCTGATGATGTTTGTGGTCGGTGAAATTGATGGAAGTGATGGTGGAAGATTCAGTAGGAGCAAGTAAAGAATCAGCAGAAGGATCGAAATTGAGATTTGGGTTTAACTCAGAGAGCATACTCTCAAGCCAAGTAGACAGATCGGAAGGATTGTAATGAATGGAATCGGCGGCCAGATGGGAAAGACCATCTTCTTGTGCATGACCCATAACTTCTTCAAGCTGTTCAAGTTTTTGGGCAACCTCAGCCATGTCCGATGACCTCACTTTGTAACCCAAGGCAGCTAAAAGTTCATCCATCCCAGTATCTGCTTGATGTCCCTCTTCTTCCTCCCATATCTTAGCTTTCCCGTTGTTAGTTGTCATAGTACTAGTGCTAGTAGAATACCCACCTGCAGCAAGAGAAGATGGGTCTGTGAGTTGTTGAGGATGGAGATTTGGGTGTTCCCTTTTCATGCTTCTTTCTTGGGTTGGTTCTAATTTCTATTTTGGGAGTGATATTTTTGGATTAATTTTTTGTGGGTGTTCGTGGGGTGGTGGTGCTCAAAAACCAAAGAGGGGTGTGACTGGGCAGAGGAATCTCGGCATTGGGGATTGGGTGGTTTTGCTTGGTTTTTCACTGCTGCTTAGCACTTCAAGATCAGGGAGAAAAAAGGACATTTCTTTTTTAATATTAAGATATGCACAAATAATTAGAGAGGAAAAAATAACGCTCGTGATGGGGCGCAAGCTCCAATGAGACTATCAAGGACAGCAACAACTACAGCTCAAGCACATAAAGATGAAGGAAAATCTTTTTTTTTTTCCAAAAAATAAAAATAAAAAATAGTGACACTGGAGATTTTGTTAGGAGGGGGCCGGCTTCTGTATCTCATATAAGTAGTACCATTTTTTTTTTTTCCCTTCTTATACGACAGAACTTTATTCAGGGTGGTGTCGTTTGTTTTTAGAGTTTAAGAGATGAATTTAAGTTCATTGCTGTATTTAATTTTGGTTACTTGGTTCACTGGAAATTCATTCCACGCTAATAGGAAGGGGAAGGTTGTGGCTTTCTCATCAATGCAAGCATCGATGGATTATGCTTACTAGGAACTTAGTTTTGTGCCAATAAATGGGGTTGTGGGTGATATAAATTAGGCAACTTCTCTTTTATTGTTCTAGGGTTGGAGAGGGCTTATGCCATAGGATTCAATATCAACAATGTATAAGAGCATCTCTAACACTCTCTTTATATTAAGATTTTTTTTATAGTAAAGATGTTTAATCCAAATTTCATCTTCAATTCTCTCTTTATCACAATCTTTATCTTTAAAATTGATATAGAAAGTGTTTTTGACTCTCCAATACTAAAAAGTCCAAATGACTCTTTATCTTATATTTCATTAATAAAAATTACTATTTCTTATATCATTCAACCTCTTCACCAATAAGTGTCTCGGGTTTTATAGATTTTATCAAAATAAAGAGTTAAATAAAGAGTAGCATTGGAGAAGATATTGATCTTCAATCTATATAATTAATGATGCTCTCTATTTATATTAAAAATACTAGCTAAAAGTAAAAAACATCATTGAAAATGCTCTAGGAGGTCTAAGATCTAATTTTGAGTCTGGGCTTGTGTCCATCAATTTACTTCTAAGATCTTGAAAACGGTACTAAATCACATGTAGTTTTATTGTTTAAAAAACACAAATGACAATATTATTGAAAAGAAGAAAGGACTTATTTAATCCTTGGTTTTTGAATGCGGTGATAACATAGACCTTCATATTTAAGAATCTTTTTGTTAGTCCCTTAGCTCGTGAGGAGAGTTGTTTTATAAAAGGAATGAGAGACGTTTTAAGTATTCTTGGTTTTCTTCAAAAAAGAAAAAATTATAAATCGAGATAAGCATTATTTTGTTAAAAATTTTGTAAAATTTAGAAAAAGCCAACATATTCCTTTAATAAAATAGCAATCTAGAAGACTTAGGGACTAAGTTATAAATGTTTAAATATGAAAGGCTAGGTTATAATCACCATCAAAACTAGGGACTAGATGACAAATTTCTCTCGTTAAAAAGATTTAATAACACTTGAAATCTAATGGGTTAATTGTTACAGCAGTATTTCCAATCGTTCTCCCGCCTCTGTTTTGTCTCTCTACTAGGGGTGTTCACTATTTGATGAAAATCGAATAACCGAATTGCATTGAAATATCAATTTCGATGCGACTTTTTTTTAGAAACTAAAAAAAAAAAAACCGAACCGAAATATAGCCGGTTTTCGATTTCGGTTTCGATTTTTTTTTAATTCGATTAAAACCGAATAACCGAAATTATTAATTTTTTTTTTTAAATTCATCGATTAACGACGTCATTCATTCCAATCCTCACACCCTCACCTCACCCTCATGCAAACCTAAGCTAATTGGAGTTAAATCAATTAGCCCATAACCAATTCTTGTTGCATTGATTACATGAGCCAACCGGCCTAACGCCAAATGACCATAACCAATTCTTGTTTATAATTGCCCGAGGAGGTACATAATTTCTTTCTTGATTCAATTTATAGTTTTTTTTTTTAAAAAAAAAGATGTGAGATAGTGTTTTTTTTCTATATGAAAGAAAACTAATTAATTTATGGACCCTCATAATAATTAGTATGTCTATTTTTAGTAAACACATATAATTTAAAATCGCACTAAAGAAAGTTGAGTGTTTGAAGTTTTAATGCTCTTCATTGTTCAAAAATAAAATTGCCATTTAATTAGCAAAGGTTAACTTATGGTCATGCAGTGTTTAACAAGTTACCCAAAATTATTAGTTCTAATTACGTCAAGTTAATTAAAAGTATCTTTCATAAAGATAAATAAGTTAGTTATATTTGAGCTTCAAAGCATGCTCTATTTCTTTTTAGAAGGAATTGTTAAAATGTCTTAATTGTGACACATATTTGACGGCGTTATCTACCGATACCGATAAACAATAACATATATTATTAGACTTTATATGGTAATGATGACATCTCGTATTATATATATATATATATATATATATATATATATATATATATATATATATATATATATATATATCAATCGATATTGTATTAGTAATGCCTATTGAGGAGTAGTAAAATAATAGTAAATAGATAGAGTTCAATGAGATTGAAAAACGTATACATATAAGAACATAGCCTAAAAATCGCAATACAAATTCTAAATTTATTTTTTCGAAAGTGCATAATCCTTTCAAAAATCAAAAGTATAAATAATTACGAGTGAAAACCGAATTACCGAATAAAAAGATCGATATATTTCAAAACCGAACCGAAAAACCGAATAATAATGCGGTTCGATTTCGGTTATTTTTTTAAATAATTCGATTAACCAAAAACCGATCAAAAAGTTCAAAACCGAACCGAATTACCGAATGAACACCCCTACTCTCTATTATTTTTTAATTTAGCTTTCCCCAAACCTACTACCTACTCGCGTTCGATTTTGTTTCTCTATTAATTTTTTCGATTGACGGCTTTAAATAGCACGTAAGGCCCACGGTATTGCAATATACATAAACTTGTTTCTTCTTTTTTCGTCCTTCTCTTCTTTTTTTCCCTATCTTAATACTTTTTTTCTCAAATTTAAATAAATAAATTTTTTTAAAAAATGGAAAAAATTAAGAAATATCTTATCATTCTCTCTATAAAATAAAAAAAATAAAGATAAAAATATTTTTTTTATCTAAAACATCTTTTACTTGTTTAAATTTATTTCTATGATAATAAAATTTTGAGTATATGATATTTTTTTTATACGAAGAGAGTTTTAGTTAGTTTTTTAATATAATTTTTTGTTAGTGTTGGACCCAACACTAAAATTTTTTTTAATTTGATTAAAATTTGTAACAAAATTTATATTCCCGCTTTTGAGTCAAATTAAAAAATTTATAAAGTCAAAATAAATAAATTATAATATAATCTTTTGAGGTATTCTAGAATTATAAATACCATTGAAGAGTTTAAAATTTTAACTAAAAGTCTCTTTATATTTAAAAAAATATATTATAAAATGTTTCACTTTATATTCAAATTTTGATTACTACTATAGAAATAAATTTAAACACATAAAAGATATTTTTGACATAAAATATTTTTATTTTTTAATCTTTTTTGAAAGATGACTCGGTATATCTTTATTTTTTTTCTAAATTTTATTTATTTAAATTTAGATTGAGTTTGGATAGAGTGAAAAGCTAGGGAGAGGAAAGAAAAGTGTTGAGGAAAGAAAATTTTAATCTGTTTGATTTTCAAAGAAAACCTATAAAATCAAAAAAAATAATAATAAACAAATTTAAAGGTAGTGGGACTCACTTTCCTCCCAAAATTGAGAGGAAAATAGAAGAAAATCAGACCAAAATATAATAAAAAATAGAAAATATATGGTATTATCATTTTTGCCCTTCATCTTCTACACCTTGTCCATCTAATATAGGGATATTATAATAAATATATAATAATATATTTTATTTCCTTCCTCTTTCTATAATTATCGAAACAAGAAAAAATATTTATTTTCTTTTATTTCTACTCTTATCCAAACAATAACTGAAAAATAGTTCTTTTTTCTCTTATTTTTCTTTCATCTTATTATTTTTTTCTCTCTTTTCTTTTCTTATAAAAGGAAATATCCAAATACAATTTTAGTAAAAACGAAGAAGATTAAGATAGGAAAATGAATAGAAAAATGAGATTAAAACAAAAACAAACAAGTTGACATGTGCCGCAATTGTGTGGGGCTAACGATGCAATCTAACGCTGTTGATTCAAAAAGTTAACGGATAGATAAAATTAAAACATAAATCAAATATAAAAAGTCGAACTTAAGTAAAAAAAAATATATACGATAAAGATAAGAAAAAATGGAAAGACCCCTGCTACTGTTAACTTATTGATATGGTATAACGTTTATCTAAACCAACAGCATAATGCTTTTTTTTTTTTTTTGAAGAATAGATAGAATAAAAGTTAAGAGTTATAAATAAACGTCATGTTACTGTTTCAAGAGTTATAGCTTTGTCGGTGAACATTCCCACGTTGCATTCAATTTCAATTCCAAGGTGGACTTCAGAGAAAAATAAAATATTGACACCAGTTTGGAATAGATGAACTCTTTAAAATCCTATCAAAGAGTCATTTAATCTGCTAAACGAAAGCTAGACCTATGGAACGTTTTACCGTACAAGGAAAAAAACACCTACCATTTCAATTAATGACTTGTAATTTTAACAAATGTAATGCCACTCGTTTTTAAGTCATCTTTAAGTCGTGACATTTTGACTGTACTTACCATGGTTAAACATGACTTTCTCATTAGGTTAAATATATCTCATGTATTTATACTATTTTAAAAATTTCGTTATAACTTTTTGATCTAAATATTATTTATAACAAATTTTATATTACTAAATGTTGATA